GGAGAGCTGAAGACATCTCAGAGACGGCTCCTTTTGACTCACAGTATGGACTGGATGGTATGGGGGCCTTGAAAATGATGTGCATTTGAGGGGAAATGAATCCCTATTTGTGAAAGACAAAAGATATTTCTCCAGTGTCAGGCTGTACAGAGTGGTAGCGGCTGTTGAGTGTGTCGGAGCATCTGTTTTCTCCGTACATAGCCTGGCTTGCACGTCTCTCACTGTGTGGCACACGTGTGCTTGTGGTTTCTTCCTGTGGGGACAACTGGTCAATGGTTTCACCATAAGAGCTGTGGCAACTGCCGCTCGCTTGGCTCATCTTTTTTGTTCTAACAATATAACATTCCTTCTTTTCCTGTGTTATCACACTGTCTTACACTGTCTTGGTATTGAGAATTGCTGTGTTTCAACTGTAACATGTAGAAAACACTGTGTGCTGTGAGCTGTTCACCATACCTCTATAGGACAAGTGTGCCTTGTGGCAAGTGGTGTGTGTCTTATGGTGCCAGACTCCTGGCTAGACTCTGTAAGACTGCCCTCTGGTGCCAAACTCCTGGCTAGACTCTGTAAGACTACACTCTGTAAGACTACACTCCTGGCTAGACTCTGTAAGACTACACTCTGTAAGACTACACTCCTGGCTAGATAGACTCTGTAAGACTACACTCCTGGCTAGACTCTGTAAGACAACACTCTGGCTACACTCTGTAAGACTACACTCTGGCTAGACTCTGTAAGACTACACTCTGGCTAGACTCTGTAAGACTACACTCTGTAAGACTACACTCCTGGCTAGACTCTGTAAGACTACACTCTGGCTAGACTCTTTAAGACTACACTCTGTCAGACTACACTCTGTCAGACTACACTCCTGGCTAGACTCTCTAAGACTACCCTCTGGCCAGGTGCTACAACTCCTGCATGTTTCTGTCATGTTTTCCTTGGGTGTGACTTCCTTCCACCTCCTCAATATCCCTAGATATGACCTTGTGCAGTTGCGAGAGCCGTAAAAACCTCTTCTAAAACAAAGTATTCCGAGAGTGGTGAGAAAGGTGTTTGTTTCCCCTGTACAATTTGTCCTTTGCATCAGCTGTGCCTTGTTGTCCTCCTGTCTGTACTTTGTCGGGACAAGTACTCTGCTGCCTCTTCTCCCTTTTCTGAAGAGAAACTTTTCTCTCCCACCTAAATGGACATGTGGGATGTCGCCGTAGCTTGGACATGTGGGATGTCGCCGTAACTTGGACATGTGGGATGTCGCCGTAGCTTGGACATGTGGGTTGTCACGGTAGCTTTTCTCTCCCACCAAAATGGACATGTGGGATGTCACCGTAGCTTTTCTCTCCCACCAAAATGGACATGTGGGATGTCACCGTAGCTTGGACATGTGGGATGTCGCCGTAGCTTGGACATGTGGGATGTCGCCGTAGCTTGACGTGCTTCTCCTTTGTGGCCGGAGGCTGACTTTTGATTCTTGTGTCGGGGCAATGTTTGGCTGTGTTGCTCTGTCTACTGGGACATGGTGTCCCTCTCAGATTGGCTTGGCTCTGACATGGTGTCCCTCTCAGATTGGCTTGGCTCTGACATGGTGTCCCTCTCAGATTGGCTTGGCTCTGACATGGTGTCCCTCTCAGATTGGCTTGGCTCTGACAGGTAGGATTCAAGGCTGCCTTCTAAATGATCCAAATTGTGTGGTTGTGGACTTAGAAACACAAATGTGGTAAAAGCTATAAAAAAAATTTCAGCTCAAACGAAAAATGAGAAAAGTACAAAACAAAAGAGTAGGCTGTTACATCATGAGAGGAAATGAAACTTGTGAAAGTTGTATGGTTTGTAAATGTGTGGAGCTGATAACATTTGTTGTACACAGGGACAGACAGTGATAGTCATCCATTTGTTGTACACAGGGACAGACAGTGATAGTCATCCATTTGTTGTACACAGGGACAGACAGTGATAGTCATCCATTTGTTGTACACAGGGACAGACAGTGATAGTCATCCATTTGTTGTACACAGGGACAGACAGTGATAGTCATCCATTTGTTGTACACAGGGACAGACAGTGATAGTCATCCATTTGTTGTACACAGGGACAGACAGTGGGAGGACTGGTGGTCGGTGTGGGTCGACCTTTGACGTTGTAAACTGGTGGTCGGTGTGGGTTGACCTTTGACATTGTAAACTGGTGGTCGGTGTGGGTCGACCTTTGACATTGTTGACTGGGTGCTCCAGGGTTGGATGTTTAGTCAGTGCGTCTATTGGTGTGTTTCTGACACTGTGGTATACCTCACTGACAAGTGAATGTTGGTGGTAGAAAGAATTGTGATGCTAGTTATTTTCATAGCATCATCATAGCTGTGTCCTTTATGGAAGAAAGTGATGTGTCTTTTGCCAAATGTCATCATGTGCAAAAGAGCCCAGCGCCAACATTGCAGTGTCATAGCTACGGTGAACAAAACGTCCTGACAGACAAACACACGTAGACACTTTTATCTGCATTGTAAACAACTCAATTTTCTTTTCATAGGTTCCAAATGATTACACCGAGGTAATTTATTGAGTTCAAAACTCAAAAATGGTCCCGCCCTAAAAAGATTGACAAGGGAGAAACTGGGAATTTCCCCTTGATTACTTCTGTACCTTCCAAAGACTTACCAGGATAACGGACATTCTCCTTCCCCGCTCTAAAGCTCCTAAGTGTGACAGTGATTGTTGACAACTTCTGCCAAGGCCATGAATTTGTCTGATACATTATACTTAATTGCAGAAGGCCATCCTCCGATGAAGAGGAAAAGATTATTTATAGCTTGATGACGGAATGAGACATGTTTTGATTCATATTTGAAGTATGGATCCTTTAAAATTTTCTTTGCAACCCTCCTTTGGTGAAGGTTTTGAGAACCCATATTATTAGCAAGGAAGGCGCTTTGTTTCTGAGAGAGGTCTGTGAATCCGTCTGGGTTCTCCAGCCTTTCTCTGTTTCTCATCTTTGCCATCATGTTGTTGGTTGTTTCTGAGAGAGGTCTGTGAATCCGTCTGGGTTCTCCAGCCTTTCTCTGTTTCTCATCTTTGCCATCATGTTGTTGGTTGTTTCTGAGAGAGGTCTGTGAATCCGTCTGGGTTCTCCAGCCTTTCTCTGTTCCTCATCTTTGCCATCATGTTGTTGGTTGTTTCTGAGAGAGGTCTGTGAATCCGTCTGGGTTCTCAAGCCTTTCTCTGTTTCTCATCTTTGCCATCATGTTGTTGGTTGTTTCTGAGAGAGGTCTGTGAATCCATCTGGGTTCTCCAGCCTTTCTCTGTTTCTCATCTTTGCCATCATGTTGTTGGTTGTGGAACATGCTGGCTCATTGGAAACCCTGATGGATTCTGAGAGCCAAATGAACCCCCTGTTGGCAGTAGGAACTGGCAAATTCTGCCTTTGGGGTATGGTTAAAGAACTAAAGAAATGCGTGTGCCATAAAGCCCTGTGCATGGGATACTTGGATGATTTAACTCGGTGTATCTGGCAAGGACTTGCGGTGAGAACCAGCGGGCCGGCGAGCTGCTGCCTGCGGCTTGGTAACGTGATGGTCATGTTTTTTTTAACTAGTTTTTGGCTTTTGCTGAAAACAGGTCTCTCTTGCCGGGAGTTTTGATTAGATGAAGAGCTATCAAATGATTATTACTTTTGATTTAATAACCAATTTAGTGAGGTGTATGTCACTTTCAAGTTTCTTACCGAAAGAAAGCGTTTTAACAATTTTAATGAAAAATTTTGACCAGAATCAGGCGGAGCAGTGAGCTGTTGAGAAAAAAACCTAACTAGTTTCGCGCGCTCATTTGACCTTATGCAGTTGCGAGCGTGGTAAAACCCCATACTAAACAGACTTAGCAAAAGAAAAGAATGTCCGGTATAGTGGGCCAAGAATGTCCGAGGTGGTAGTTGAAGGTCCCCTCCTCTATTCACAAAGGCTTCCACCTATGCTAAGTTTGTACTTTGCTCTTAATCAAGGTTGAAATGTATCACTAAACTGGACAATTTGTGTTCCAAAGACTGAACTCAATACGGTGGCATGAACTTGACTGTAACAGGTGATAGACACCGGTCATGTGAACTTGACTGTAACAGGTGATAGACACCGGTCACGTGAACTTAACTGTAACAGGTGATAGACACCGGTCACGTGAACTTGACTGTAACAGGTGATAGACACCGGTCATGTGAACTTGACTGTAACAGGTGATAGACACCGGTCATGTGAACTTGACTGTAACAGGTGATAGACACTGGTCACGTGAACTTGACTGTAATAGGTGATAGAAACAAGATGGTGTGTACTTGTAGTTAACTGGAGAAGCAATATCATGGAATTGTATTGTAATTTGTCAGCTTTCTGAAGTTGGCCCAACTGTGGGCCATATTAGTAGATATAGTTGTACCATACAGTTTGATTTAGTCTTATGTGTGTTGTTGGGGTTTTTGTTGGTTTTTTAAAATAATAATAATATCCTCTTTAGGGTAACGCTTGTTTGTAAGCTATTTCTGGTGATAAGAAAAAAAACCTATTCTGTTAAAAAGGCTTACATTGTTGTGCACAGAAAAGTCAGTTTTTGCTTGTGTGTGTTGGTCAGTGTAGGTTTGTCATGTTACTGCGAGGGATGTCTTTGTGGCTCACGCCTAGTTGGAAGGTCACACGAAGAAAGATAGCTGTACTTTCACTGGGTTTTTTTCCTGAGGTTGTTGACTGATTTTGTAGTGTGTGTCCCTGTCCTTTCCAACCATTTCTTGAACAGCCATAATGAATGTTTGAGTCGACAGTGTTGGTGGTGAGCTGTGATCCTCTTGTCGTGGTTGGTGGGACTGGCTACTTGGCAGATGCTACTGGAACCTCTTCCTCTTCCTCTTCCTCTTTGTCTTCCTCTTCCTCTTTGCCTTTGTCTCACCTGTTTTCCCCTCCACCTATAAGTGACATTTGTGTTGTTGTTGTCTGTTTGATTGATTGATTGTGCTGTCTGTTCCAGGCCGAGGGGGCGGGGCCTCTGACCGCGGCGGTGGTGGCGGCAGCTATGGGGCCGGCATGGACATGGAGATCCAGCAGGACACCATCTTTGTGTCCAACATGGGCCAGGATGTCTCCGAGGACCTCTTGGTGCAGCACTTTGGCAGCATTGGGGTCATCAAGGTGAGTGTACGGGGGGGGGGGGGGGGGGG